TTCACTTCCTTCTTCCTGTCCCCCGTCCTCAAACACGCATCTTCCTCCGCTCCTCCCTGTCGGACACTTGAGGGCCCCTTAAAAATGTTGGAATCCTTACTAGAAGGTTTTTCCCGTCAGTTGTGCTGGTTCCCCCTCTTCGTGCTCTTTTCCTGAAATGATGCATGGCGCTACCCGCATGGACCTGTGCCATAAAGGCAAGATGGCGTCCCGACTGGGCGGAGGCCTCACCCGTCGGCATCGCGCCACCCCTCCTCTGCGCAGAGCCCCCTGCCCAGCTCCAGCCCTCCAGGGTCTCTGCTGGCCGCCCAGCGAAAGGCGGAGCACCAGCGCCCACTCCCAGCTGGACTCGTCGCCCCCTCGCTCACACGCTCACCCTCTCTCTGCTCATTCTCCCTCACAGCTGGTCCGACACGTGGGGCGAGGCGGGCTATATGCGCCTGGCACGAGGGGACCACAATAACTGTGGAGTCGCAGATTCTGCAAGCTTGCCCACCATGTGAGAAAGTGCAAGAGCCACAATTGGTAACCCTGTTTGGTAACCATCCCTGCTTAAAGGCAACACTGGAGCAACAAGCTGCGTATCCTTCACTGCCTCCTCCTCCTCTGCCACCTCCACCATGTTCTCCTCCTCCCTCACCCGCTCCCTCTCCCATAGTTCCTAGCACAGTTTAAAGGTCAGCCTTTCTCCTAAAATGCCCTAAAACCAAATGCTGTTAAAACATGCATCCATGGTATTAAACAAGCCAATTAAAAAATCAGCACCGTTCTCTGTGTATTTGAATGTTTTGTACCACGATTGGCTTAAATTCAGCCTGGGGGTGCATGTCCAGGGAGTCTGAGTTGAACCGTAAGAGGGGTGCACTTTGTAAGGAATTTCCCGGGGACATTTTCTGTTCCTCATGTGCTGATTTTCATCCTTCGGCGTGTGGGGAGGGTCTCAGGTTTCTAAAGATGGAGGCAGGGCATTGTGCCATGCCGGCTCCAGCCAACAAACTATCGATTCAAAGGAATTGACCCAAGTGCCCCATTATATGGTGATCAGCAGGCTTGGAGATGGAACACTGATCAGGTGGATCCGCAGCTGGCCACAGACTCAAAGACTGCTCATCAATGGCACCCTCTCAGACCAGGGAGAGAGAACAAGAGGGTACCAGACGTTTCGGACCTGGGCCCAGTGCTCCTTAGCATTTTAATTAATGGCATGGATGACGACTTGGTTTGCAGGGGACACAGAACTGGGTGTGACGGCAAATGCCATGGAAGACAGAAAGAAGATTCAAGGTGATCTTGCTAGGCTGGAGCACTGGGCTGAAAACAACAGGATAAAATTCAAGAGGGACCATGCCAAGTTCTGCACCTGTTACAAGATGGGGATACTCTTTGTTTCCCAGTAAAAATAAGGGGTGAAGCCTAGCTACCCTGTCGATCCACCTCCAGAAGATGTGGGACTTGATGAGAAGGGGAAGGCCGCAGCAGGTGAAGATTGGTGGGATCGGATCAGGGAGTCCAGCAGATCCTCTGAGGCTGTGCGGACAAGGCAAGACGGTGTTAGAGGTTTCGGTTCGAGAGTAGCTTGCTGAGATATTTTGAAGGCTGCTAGAGCCACCCACCTCTGCTGGCCAGAGCGAGATGGCTCTTTTGTGTGACTCTTCCAGCTTAACCAAAGAAGCTCCC